TGATGAAGTTTATTCTTGGTAATTTTCAAAAAAACGAAGAGAAAAAATTATTGTAGAACAATTTAAGTAGATATATTCTTTTTAACTGCAAATTAAAATTAAAACTTTAGTAAAATAGAAAATTTTAAGAATTTGAAATTTTCTAATAAATAATAAAATGAATTTTAATCGTTCATTCAAGGATAAATTAATTCACAAATAAATTTGAAAAAAAAAGAAAGATTTAGGAAAATTGAAATTTGAAATTGTCATGTTTGTTATATTTATCATGCATATATGTAAAATAGAATTTCTCTGAAATATTATATATTGTTATATTGTTTCATATTATCGAATTTCTATTTATCTGATTTGTGTTGATCTTGTCTAGAAAAAATAAAAAATTCGCTTATTTTTATGAAATACATTCCACAAAATTTGATATTTCCTAAAGTTATTCGTTTAATTTTTCTTATTCTATTTTAATTTTGTATGCTAAAGCATATATTCTATATCAAAAATGAAAATCTCTTTCTTTTGTGCAACAAACATTCCAAATTTTACTTTTTGAAATCAGTAACTTCATTCATAACTCATATCTCAATTCACTATTTTACTTTCTATTAACCACAGAAAAGATTCTCAAAACTCAAATCTTTCTTAAACGCTTCTTTTCAAACATCCTTCTCAACCATCAGACATTCGTGGATTTCTAATACTGTTTTGAATTTGTATTACAAATTATTAAAAACAGCATCGATGATTCTTCGAATATATTTGATAAAGTGCAATATCAAGTATCATTTTAAATAAAAACTAACAATATCATTTATGACGTTACAATGTTTAGTTTGGAACAACAGTTTTTCATTCGAATTTTTCCGTCCTTTCTTTTTTTTTTCTTGATCTACAGAATCCAACCTCGCAGAATCGTCTTGCTAAAACACTCTCGAAGCACGATTCTATGCAAATAGAATCGGCAACCACGAAGAAATGCGGCGATGTTTCGCGTACGAATCGAGCAAGAGCAACCGTTTGCATCCATAGAAAATGAGATGCCTTTCAGTAACATCGGAAATATAGGTCAGAAACAGAAAAGCTAGGTAAA